TGACCACCAGTGACAGCACCCGCAGCAAGCTTCTTCTCACCAGAGTAAGTCTTCAGCTGAGCTCGAGCCTTAGCAACAACATCAGCCAAAGGCAACTGGCGCCCATCCTCCTCGAACACCCGGATGGCCTTCTGCACGTCTTCGGGCAGGGTGGCAATCAGGCTTTCACGAAGGATGTTCTCAGCAGCCACTGTGGTAGTAACCCCTAGCACTCTAAGGTAGCGGCGGAATTCAGCTAATACACCATCAACACTATCTTCCTTGTGCCACTCACGGCGAGTCAGACGCTTCCACGCCTCGTGAGTTTTGAGCGAGTACGCTCTATCCAGGGCCCTAACCACATGAGCATAGGCACCAGCTGGATCGCCCTCAACTTCCTCCAGGGCTTGCCTAGCGATCTCTTTGGCCGAGCCCTTCATAAAAAGTACGATATATTGTGACTTTTGCTTAATAGTCCACTTAGAAGCCTCGGCCACCGTCTCGAACTCCTGCAGCCAAAGAGCGAAGTCGTTTTCACCACCAGAATAGGGTTCCAATACAGATTCGAGCTTGAACGGCATGTTGGTCCTGGGTCTGGGCACCAGATGTAGCAATGTGTGTACCGTCAAGCTCACTAGCAACGCTAGTCCACTTAGAGTGGGGTATAACAGGAACACTGCGATGAACGTCTCTGACTCAACACCCAATAGCTAGTAGAGATATAGCAATAATAGGGTAGTTGCAGGATATACAGTATATCATATACTGAATATAGTCTTCAACCAGGCGGCAGTAGGTGAAGACAGACGCAAGGACGACAGTATAGAGCCAGAGAGAGAGAGTGACGAGCCCAATAGCAAGGGCAAGAAAGAACAGAATAAACTGAACTGAGTGGGACAACAGCAATCACTCGTGCCACAATGGAGATGCTTAGACCAATCATAGAGCAATAGAAATGGCGAGACCACATGAATCATGAAACCGCTGATTCATGCAGATGCAGGAAGGTCGAGCGCTACTATTTGGAGGACGTGCCCTCCACAAGTCAAAGCTCAAGATCTTATCACCATGTCATGCGCTTACAAGGAAGGATTGCGTCTAGCAGTCGGGAGTCTCAGCCAGAGCTGCTGCCGGAACTCCTACAAGCTGTAGGCTACAACTGATGAGCGGAAGGACTGTAAATGGTAATGATGACAATAATCACCGCTCCGTTCAACGGAGCGGTGATTATCCAGATTGAGTATCCAACGGAGTCCGTTGGATACATCAGTTCTCGCATTACCCTTACCGTTTCGTGTATCTTTGTAACGGTCTCGTAGCAAAAATCAGTACTGCTGCTATATTCATCAGGCGTATATCGTAATCTCACTACTGATGCAGGTTTGTACTCTGTACTACGATGAACGTGAACTCCAAACAGGACAACAGTACTGTAGCGTGACTCACGCAGCGTGAGTGAAATGTCGCGTATGGAGGGGGCTCCCGATGAAG